TATTTACCCCAAAGATACAAATGTAGTGATCCAAAAGGAAATGTGCACCCCAGTGTTTATAGCAGCAATGTCCACAGTAGCCAAACTATGGAAAGAGCCAAGATGTCCTTCAACGGATGAATGGATAAAGAAGATGTGGTATATATATACAATGGAATATTATGCAGCCATCAAAAAAAAAAACAAACCCAAAATCTTGCCATTTGCAATGATGTGGATGGAACTAGAGGGTATTATGCTAAGCGAAATAAGTTAATCAGAGAAAGACATGTATCATATGATCTCACTGATACGAGGAATTCTTAATCTCAGAAAACGAACTGAAGGTTGCTGGAGTGGTGGGGGGTGGGAGGGATGGGGTGTCTGGGTGAGAGACACTGGGGAGGGTATGTGCCATAGTGAACACTGTGAATTGTGTAAGACTGATGAATCACAGACCTGTACCTCTGAAACAAATAATACATTATATGTTAAAAAAAAAAAAGAAGAAGATAGCAGGAAGGGAAAAATGAAGGAGGGGGAAACCCAAGGGGGAGACAAACCATGAGAGACTGTGGACTCCGAGAAACAAACTGAGGGTTTTAGAGGGCAGGGGGTGGGGGGATGGGTTAGCCTGGTGATGGGCATTAAAGAGGGCACGTATTGAGTGGAGCACTGGGTGTTATACACAAACAATGAATCATGGAACACTACATCAAAAACTAATGATGTAATGTATGGTGATTAACATAATAAAATAAAATTAAAAAAAAAAGGCCATTGATCCCCACTGTCCCATCTCCAGTGTCTAGCAGTTTTTCAAGAGTAAATGCTATTTGATTCGTTGTTGCCTTTGAATGATTTCCAGAGCCTTGAAATGGTTGTTTTCCACAGTATAGTCCTTTTTTTTTTTTAAGATTTATTTATTTTGAGGGAGGGAGGGAGAGAGAGAGCTTGTGCCCACATGTGCAAGCGGGAGTGGGGGAAGGGCAGAGGGAGAGAGAGAAAATCTGAAGCAGACTCCCCACTGAGCAAGGAGCCCAACCCAGAGCTGGATCTCAGGACCCTGAGACCATGACCTGAACTGAGACTAAGAGACACTTAACTGACTAAGCCACCCAGGCACCCCTACAATGTTGTCCTTTTTATAGGTGTTTTGAGGGGTGACGGATTTACCAGTCTCTTTATTCCACGATACCTGGAAATATTGCCTCTATTTAAACTTTCTAACTTCTTACTCCTTCCCTCGTGTCTTCCAGGCCCACTTTAATTCACTCTGGTCAGGCTTTTACCACTGTTCTACTGAAGCCACTTTTATTAAGAGTCACTGGCATCCTGCATTTACCCTTTCCAATTATCAGTTTTCTGTTTTCATCTTAATCAACCTTTCAGCAGCTTTCGGCATAAATGGTCACTCCCTTTTTCTGAAAACTTTTTTTTAATTGGCTTCTAAGATAATACTATCTCCTGTTTTTCATCCTACTTCATTACTTCTCCACGTGATCCACTCCTTCTCGTACCTCTGAATATTTACTTACGTATTTTGGTCTAAACTTCTTCCCTAGGTGATACCATTGGGTTCCCTTGCTTTAAGTTCCCTTTATGAAGATGACCCCCAGATGCATATTTCCAGCTTCAACTTCTTCTACCTTGAGCCTCATAGTATTTTCACTTGGATGGCTAGTAAACGTTTCAAACTTAATAGATGGAAAACAGAACTCTTGAACCACTTTCTCCATCAAATTTATTCTCTTCAAGAGTTTTTAGAATGATCTTTTAAAAGGGTAAATCAGATTATGTCATTTTCCTGATCAAAACATTGGCTTTCCTTTACATTTAATGTGAAACTCAGTTTCTTACCATGATTAAAAGAGTTTATAGACATACCCCCTGCCTACCTTCTCTGAACTTTTCTTCTCTTCCTTTACTCAATCACATTATTCTTTAGCTATTTCTTGAATATGTCATGTCTGCCTCTAGCTGTTTACATTTGGAGGTTCCTATAAACTGCATTGCTCTTCCCCCGTACCTTCACATGGTTCTCATCATCATATCATTCAGGTTTGTGTTCAGATCTTACCTCCTTTGTGAGGTGTATTCTGACTTCCCTATCCAAAATACAGCTCCTTGTCTATATCATGCCCTGTCTCCTTAAGCTATGTGAAAATACATTGCTTCTTCCTCACTGTCCTCCATAGACTGTAAGTTTCACGAAGATAGGAACTTAGTCTTGTTCACTGCCATATCCTTAACATTATGGACGATGCCTGGCGTAGAATAGGTGCACAATATTTGTAGAATAACAGTGTTTTCTATAGAATTAATTTGTCATTAGTGAATTATTAAAGAATGACTCAGTAACAATGGCTCGGCTTGTGATAGTTGTATGTTTAAGTGCATTCAGGCATCAACTTTGTTTGCCTAATGTTGGCATGATTAATACTTATAAATGTTGCTCTATGAAATTTATATTTTAGACCTTTTAGGGAATTTTAAGATGAGAAAATTTAAGACTTTAAAAAGAATAGAATATGTCAAAAGAGTAAGGGTAGATGAATATTTAGGTCCATGTATTTGCTTCACTTATGCATTCTTTCTGGTAAAAGATAGTATACATAAACTTATACAACTTCTGTTATCTGAGAATTTAATAGTTCTCTTTTATAACTTGGTTAATGAGTCTGGAAAAATGGCTTATTTTAACATAGTTGGCTATGTTGAAAAATAATCTTAATGTCTATATATTGTGAGAGCCGTGAGTCTTAGCTTACACTAGGAGTTCTTCCACAAAACTATCTATATAGATGTGAACTGGCAAAGTATAGACATACTTCCAGACTTAGCATCAGTTTAAAATGCAAATAGACACAGTTTTGAAATTGGTAAAGTTTTTTTGTGTGTTCTTTGTCACAGTTAAAACTCAGAATGTGACTTGAGTTATCTTTATTAAAGCAATAATACTGTACTGTCTTGAGTTTTTGTTTATTGCTTCAGCTATAAACATTTTATAACAAGTAATGGGATGAAAGATTGATGTTCTATAAAAGAATTTTAATTTTTAAAAAAGATTTATTTATTGAGAGAGAGCACGAGTGGAGGGAAGGGCAGAGGGAGAGGGAGAGAAAGAATCCTTAAGCAGATTCCCCACTGAGTGCGGAGCCTGACGTGGGGCTCCATCCCAGGACCCTGATACCGTGACCTGAGCTGATATCAAGAGTCAGCTGCTTAAAAGAGTCAGCTGCTTACCAGGTGCCCCTATAAAAGAATTTTAAATATCACTGTACATGAACCCAGCTCTCACAGTCCGTTTAAAGGGATAGAGGATAGTCCTTTCGAGTTTCTAATTTCCCTGAGATGATATGCTAGAACAATCATAGAGCCAGTTGGAAGTTTCTAGAGGAGGAGAAACAATTTGCATATTTCTGGTACCATCTTCTAAGAACTGGAGCCCACTCTGCTCTAGAATAGTTCTGCTTATGAGGTTCCTCATCTGCTGTGCAATCTCCAGCCCCTCTTTTTTTGGCCTTTTTTTCCTAACCTAAAAGCATTTTTCCTTCCAGATTCCCAGGTATATAACTTTATGTTTTATAGCCCTTCCAAAATTTTGAAATTTTATATTTCCTGTCCATATAGCTAGTACTTTGTAATATTTTCTCTGTGTTATGTAATTAGGCCTTTATTTACTGGACTTGTGATAGCCAAGTATACTTTTGGAATTTATCTTCTTTGTTAATATATACTCTTCATTTATTACTGCAAAAGCTTATGTTGTTAGGAAGTCATCATATTATTTAGTGTTTTCTTTTCATGAAGAATGAACATAACTTTGAAATTCCCCAATGGAAAAAGTTATTTTTGTGGTCTGTAAATTTATCAGGACTGCACAATTTCTAGTATGCCATATTTTAACTTAGCAACTGAGCCCTTACGGGCTCTCAGATTTTTTTTTTTACACTGTATCTTGGAAGTTAGGAGGGCTTGTAAGAGCTCTTTGCACCCAAATTCATTTGTTTAGTGAGAAGTTTGATTTTTATTATAGTTGCGAAAGATTACAGTACTAATAGCTTATTCCAGATATCTCTTAAATACTATACACACTGCTTCTCAAGCTATTAGTGGTGAAATATTAGTTTTAAAAATTTCCAGTTCAGGGGCGCCTGGGTGGCTCAGTTGGTTAAGTGACTGCCTTCAGCTCAGGTCATGATCTCAGCGTCCTGGGATCAAGCCCCACATTGGGCTCCCTGCTCGGTGGGAAGCCTGCTTCTCCCTTTCCCACTCCCCCTGCTTGTGTTCCGTCTCTCGCTGTCTCTCTCTATGTCAAATAAATAAATAAAATCTTTAATAAAAAAAAAATTTCCAGTTCATCAAAGACTGATATTTTTGTAAAATACAATAGAAATCAGTTACTAGAAAAGCGAAATTTTAAAAAATACAAAGTATAGGCCCCACTCTTTATTTAAGATTCACAGATATGAAATTATTCTATCAAATTGCTATAAAACATTCTAAGCACTTATTCTCAATTTCTGTATTTATCTTATTGCAGAGTAGTAGAAAGTAGTAGATTAGTAACATAGACTAGTAACAAATAGGTTGCAGGTCAGCATTGCTCTATAGACCATACTTTTTATTTTGTTTAAATTTTTTTTGTTATTTTTTAATTTTTAAAAATTTTAATTAAAGTATAGCTGACATAATATTAAATTAAGTTCAGGTGTACAATGTAGTGATCGTACAACACGAAATTCTCACCACAATAAGTGTATTACAGTATTATAGACTATATTCCCTATGCTTTACTTTTCATCCCCATGACTTATTTATTTTACAGTGGGCAGTTTGTACCTCTTAATCCCCTTTACCTATTTTGCCCAGGCCCCCACCCCCTAGACCATACTTTTTAGTAACATATCTATAGCCTGCTCTTTGTAGTGTTTAATGTTATGAGTTCTTAGAATCTTAGTCAATATGGTGAATAGCATTTATCCTTTAAAAAATATTTTCATGTGTTTCCTTTTCAGAACCGAGAGCTCCAAATCATGAGAAAGCTAGATCACTGTAACATAGTCCGATTGCGTTATTTCTTCTACTCAAGTGGTGAGAAGGTAGGTCTTGCAGAAAGTGTGTACTGAATATTGTGATAGACTTGTTATTCTTCTAAATATAGTCATCATTCTCCACCCCACCCCCCACCTTAGCACAACTAGCAGAACAGTTTTGCTAATTGAATGGAAGAATTCTAAAACACAGGCCCTAGTGATTCTGAGCTCAAGATATAATCATTGAATATCATTAGTTATATCAGAAATTGTTTATGAAATAAAGGGAATGAATTTTTAAGAATTTTCTTTTTTGGAATATTTGTCTTTAGTTCTTTATATATACATATATATATTTTAAACCTTCTATGTTCCTTATGTGCTTCTGGAGCCCCATGATAGTTCCAACTGTTTATTAGAGGGTGGAAAATTATGTGGAATATAAGTGGAATTATGTGGAATTTAAGTGGAAGTATTGGAGGGAAATGGGAAACAGGAAGACTTTGGTAGGACCAGAATGAGACTTAAACAGTGGGAGGCAAGTTTAACCTACCTTTGGCGAGGGAAAAAGAAAGGTGTAATATTACAGAGCTTGTTGTAAGTGGTCACTGTTTTTGATCACATTTAATTTTGTGAAAGCAAAGGATAATTAAACGAGACTTTGTGCTGTGCATCCCTGGTCCTTTTTGTCTTTCCATTCAGATGATGACAGTAACTGATGTCATTGTGCTCACTGGAGTTTGGAAGCACAGAAAGTCAGTTTCTTCTTTTTTACCTTTTTTTTTTTTAAGATTTTATTTGACAGACACAGCGAGAGAGGGAACACAAGCAGGGGGAGCGGGAGAGGGAGAAGTAGGCTTCCCACAGAGCAGGGAGCCCGATGCGGGGCTCAATCCCAGGACCCTGGCATCATGACCTGAGCCGAAGGCAGATGCTTAACGACTGAGCCACCCAGGTGCCCCCTTTTTTACCTGCTTCTTTCTGCCTGTTCACTGTTCCTTCCCAGATTAAATATTTTCCTTACATTTCTACTTCACTGGTTTGGGGTGAGAGGGCAGGGCAAATAATAAACCACTTAATCTTTTTGGCTAAACAAATACGACTTTGGATAAGACCATTTGATTTTTTAAAGATTTTATTTACTTATTTGACAGAGAGTTAGCACAAGTAGGCAGAGAGGCAGGCAGAGGGAGAGAGAGAAGCAGGCTTCCCGCAGGGAGCCTGATGTGGGACTCGATCCCAGGATCCTGGGATCATGACCTGAGCTGAAGGCAGCTGCCTGACTGAGCCACCCAGGTGCCCCAACCATTTGATATTTTGGACTTCAGATTTCTGGTATATACTATCTGAAGTTCCTAGATCCGTAATTCCTCTTGATTTCTAAGCACAGTATTCTTTTTACTTCATTTCCCAGTGTACCAGTGCTTAACCATTTTCCATTAAATTTTATTTAGATTATTTCCTTAGAAGTTCTTTTTTTCATGTCATCTGTAATATGGGAAGATACCTATGTATTAAGCCACGATTGTGATATACCTCCTGTAGATACATAAATGTTAAATATTTGTATGTGTTTGTGTCAGTCATAGTTTTAGCAACCATAATTAGCAAATTGGCTCCTTAGTGACTCTTGTTTCTCAGGTGTTTGTATTTGGGACTGTAAGCCCTTGTAAGTATTTGAGCTCTTTTGTTTCGAAAGCCAGTTATGAGGTTCATGCTACTTTTTTTTTTTTTTTAACCTAGCAAACAGCCTGTTATGTCTTTAACTTATCTGTTTTGACATGTCTTTACTTTTTCCTGTCCCTTCCCAAATAAAATTATGGAACATCTGTTACATTCACAGCACTCTTATAATGGAATTTTGCATCCTCATGACTTTTTGTTATTAGATCCTAGACATTGTAATATCCCAGGGAGAAAGTAAAGGTCAGAATTATTTGTTCCATGAACCAATAGATTACATGGAGATTGGTTTGCAGAGGCCTCCTTACAAAGCCCCTAAACATTTTCTCATGATTACTTTATTTATATAGCTTTCCCTATACAGCAGACACTGTTTTTAGCACTTTACAAATATTAACTCATTTAATGCTTACAAAGATGAAGAGCAGAAAAGGAAGAATCAAATTTTTGAATATAAGGCTCTATTTGTGGCAGCATCAAAAGGTTTACCTATCTGGTTTTGGTCTGGTGAAAGCCTTGATCACAGTCTGCCCTCACCCTCACTTAATCCTGCCTTGGGAGTGACTGGACTGTTACCTGTGTACCCCAGAGGGTGGATTTTCCTCCCTGCTGCTGTTCAGAGCTGCTTATTATCATAAATGGTCTTACAGATAAAGAGCAATTGAGAAGTCATTAAGGGAGGTTAACCAGAAGGACACTGAACCTCTTTCTTTCATAAAAAAGAAATGTACTTTCTAATGTTTTTCTCAGAACTTTCTCTTGAGCTTTGTAAATTTTCTGAAATGAAAAAAAAAAAAAAGATTCCTCTTAATTTTGGATAGCTTCATTTAAAAAAAATAGAAAGAAAGAAAGTTGTGATATATTGCTGAAAATAATGATCCTTCCTTAACAAAAAAGGAAGGTTTTCTGGAGATATGCAGAAATACTGCATGCATATGGGAGGCTCAGGACTTCCCATAGTCTTCTAGCCACCAAAAAGATGATTTCTTCTTGCCCTACTCATGATCTCCACTTCCATTCTTCTGAATTGTTCTGGCAGGGCTAACATCACTCAAGAGACCAGGTAGTAAATTAATATGTCCCATATGAGAAGATGGGTTCTGCTCTTGGGTTGAGAGCTCAGGTTTGTAAGTATCAGTTCTAACTCTTAAGAGTAGGTTACTGAGAGTGAACTTAGAACTACCTTTTAGAAAAGGATCTAAATGTCTTAGGAAATTCTTACAAATCTTTAAAGATGATTTCTCTCTGAATATGACAGTCCTCTATTAGGTAGGCATTTTTCTAACAGAAGCATTATGTAACTGCCTATGTGTATATATTAGAAGAGTTTTGGGGGAGGAAATAATAATAGTTCGAGATGCCTTTGGGACATGCAAATAGAATGCCCATTAGATAGATACATGTATGATTTCATAGGTGGTAATGGTGGCTGACAGCGGGGGGTGGGGTACTAAGTAGAGAAAGGATATTGACAAGGTTGTGTTGATAGAGTTATGTAGCCATGTGGTAGAGCTCTTAGGCGTTCTGGGAAGAGGGAGAGGGGATGTTTGAGACCAGGACAGTAAAGAGCCAGCAGTTTGCCAAGTATTGCCTTCTGGTCCTAGAATATGAGAACCGTCTTCATTTGGGAGACTGCAAGGAAGCCAGTGCCTTTGGGTGGGATCCAGGTTTTGTCTAGGGCAAAGCAGTAAAAACAACAAAAACAGAACGAAAACAACAACAAAACCTCTGTGAAGAGACTGGGATTCAAAACCCCATGAAGAGTTTCTTTTACAGGTGCTAGAGAGCTTAGGGGAACATCTGGACAGGAGATCAGTGGTCAGAACATGAGCCTAAAGGAGACGTGAGGAGGCAGTTAGGGGGATGGTTTTAGAAATTGTTGAGGATGAGAAAGAGAAGAATTTAGTGTTTCAGGATTATAAGAGTGAAAGACTTGGTTGATGTATATGGAAATATTTCATAACTCTCTTATTGTTGTCCTCATCTCTCCCTCTTTACCATTTTCCCAGTCTCTTTTATGCCTTTTGTCTCTGTCTACTTTATAGGTTTCTGCTTCTTTCACTCTGGGCTCTACTCTAGGTCTCTATCTTTTGGTCTCTGAGGTTCTGTCCCTCTCTTTTGGTGTGTGTCACCCCCTCAGATTTCTTTTCCCTCTTCAACTCTGGTATCTGTCTGTCTCTATCTCATTTACTTCCTGTATGGATCTCAACTTCATTCTCGTGGTTTTCTGTACTCCTCTTTTGTTGGGTTTCTACCCATCTTTCTTTGAATATCTGATCCTTCTGAGTCTTTGTATGGATTCTCATCTGTCCTGAGCCTTCTTCATTCTCTTTCTTGGTGTTTCTTCTTTTTGAGCTTCTATTACTCCCTTTTTGGAAAATTTTAAAGAAGAAAAATTTTTCACTCACCATCCTGACTTTTGACTTCTGCATTATCTATGTATGTATCTATTTATCTATCTTATTTCATTTGTACATGTTTTACCTATTTGTATGAATAATTATTTATGACCTTACAAACTTTGAAGATCTCATAAAACTTTCCATGTTGCCTCATAGTATTTGTAGTTATTGGCTGTATAATATTCCATTGAGTTATTGAACTGCATAATACTCCCTAACTATTCCCCCATTGTTATTTTATTTTATTTTATTTTTTTAAAGATTTTATTTATTTGACAGAGAGAGACAGCGAGAGCAGGAACACAAGCAGGAGGAGTGGGAAAGGGAGAAGCAGGCCTCCCGCCGAGCAGGGAGCCCGATGTGGGACTCGATCCTGGGACCCCAGGATCACGACCTGAGCCGAAGGCAGACGCTTAACGACTGAGCCACCCAGGCACCCTGTTATTCTTAATTTTAAAATTATAGCTAAGCTACCCCAGGGCTTCATCATAATTTTTGTCTATAAGCACTCTTCAGCTCTGGGTGAAGTTAGAGTAAGAATCCTGCAATATTTGGCAAATATTTCCACTGACCACAGTTTGACTGAAAGGTTATGTCTGTTTTGGTGAACTTGTCTTTATTTTGCTCCACTCTGCCATTTTAAAGACTGTTTTCTTTAGGGATTGTAAATAATCAGCTTCTAGCTTATAACTGGGGAAAGGACTAACCAGAGTAACTAAAAGAAGGGGGAATTCAGTCAGGACAGACACCAGAGGTGTGACCTAATTAATCTTAGTCATAGTCTTCTGGTTGGAATTATTAGTGTTTGCTATAGTAACTAGAGCATCATGTAGTCAATTAGTATACTTTAGATTACCCAATAGGTTTTAGTAACTCTGATTTAGTTCAGAAAAAGTGGCACTCTTTCTCCTTGACCAGACAAAAATGGGGATTTTTGAATGTTTTGAAAGTCAGGCTTATAATACTTTTGTGAATTCTGAG